GACACATTCCTTGAGGGTGTATTGCAAACAATGGGCCAACGTTGGGCCAACATAATACTACCAACTTTATGGGACACGTTCTTTAAGGGTGTATTACAAACAATGGGCCAACGTTGGGCCAACATATCACTACCAACTTTATAAAACACATTCTTTAAGGGTGTATAACAAACAATGGGCCAACGTTGGGCCAACATACTACTACCAACTTGTAAATACACTTTTCTTTAAGGGTGTATTATAAACATTGGTCCAACGTTGGACCAACACCAGGATCCTTCCTGACTTGGAAACTAAAGTGAATGGAAGTTGCTTACGTTGGACCAACGTTGGGCCAACATAGGAATTCTGTCATGATCGAGAAGGTTGACTTGGTAACATTGGTCCAACTTTGGCCCAACGTTGTTCCTCCAACGCCAACCATACAACCTTTAGCACATGTTGGCCCAACATAGTCATGCTATCTGGGAAACTACATTTTATTAAACATTTTTTCCATTTAACAACAAATTAAAAACGCCCGTAACATCTTTCATTGTTTCTTTTCTTTGTATTTTGTTCGTAAGAACATTTTTTTTTTAATTTTGCAGTCCATTAACATGATCGTGGATTGACCTGAACTACGTGTTCGAAGTAAAATGTAAACATGTATTTGGCGGAAACGTTGCTATTCATTCAACGATTGGCCAGTTGCTCGTGGTAATCTAAGATTCTCTGTGCGCATTTATAACAATAGCCATATAAGGCAAGCAAAGGTTTGTCAGTTTACTAGTAGATGATAATTCACATTTTTTTTACCGGCGAATATGTCACCAGTGAGATCTAAAAGTAAAAGATATATTGTTATTTTAACACCCCCTCCTTTAGCCACCCTTTCTCTGTTGAAAATCATGAAAATTTTTCAGAAAGATCTGGAAACATTTATTACAGGACATGTTTTCAAAAGAAACAGGCTATAGCAATATCATGTTTACTGCCAATTTTATTATAAAACCGGTTCTACCCTATAACCTTTGAATAGATCAACCTAAACCACGTGTTTTGAATTTGAATCACAATAACTTTAGTAGAGGTGTCAATGCACTCTTTAAACTCACACAGTTTTTGCACAAATTATGGCCACATTATTCTGGAAATAAAACTTACGATAATCGAACTTCAACACGAGACGTAACCCTAATATGTATTAAATATCTAATGTCAATGGCATTTATTCTTAAAAATCATCATCGTAATATTAAGTTTTCAAATTCGATGTTTGAAAGGGGACGTTATTAATAAATGGGAATGTTGCAGCTGTTTGATTCTACAATATACAAAATTAATCAATTGAGCTTTCCTTCATACTATTAAATTGAAAATTTAAAACCAACTTTTTAGATGAGTATTTTTCTACGAACTTTGCTCATTTTCCATACTCGTCTAGGTCTTGTCGGAATGGTTCGCCAAAACATGACAATGCTGTATGTAGAAACATGCCAAAAGGGTTACTAGCAAATAGTAAATTGTTACAATTGGTAAGAAAAGTATTTTACATTTAAGGTCTGAAACTTTGAAAAGTACGCAGTTTGACGTATCTTTCATGATGCTAGATTTCAGAGAGTAATCATGAAAGAAACTAGCTTTGTAACATGGAAAGCTGTTTAACAGCTGGAAAAAAGTGTAATCATCTTGCGCTTTAGACTCATGTTAATGCATAGAAAATACAGAACTGCTGAATTTCACGAGAAACGATGAAAAACCAATTGGAAACTATCAAGATCTATCATCAGAGAACATATATTCCTACGAATTATCATGTGCGAATTATGTTTTAATTATTAATCATTTAAAATCAAAATTTAGTTATAAATAACTTTTTAGTATGTTTTGTTGCCTCGTTACACATTTCCGCATAATAACAACGTGACGTTCATTTGTGCGAAAAACCATTTGAGTTTAAAAAGTGCGTTAAGTTGTATATATCAGAGAGTTCTTGTCCATTCTGTTTTTGTTTTAATATTCAGTTGATAGGAATTTACATTTAACCAGTACTCTTAAAAGCTGCTTACATTTGTAGCTTAATCAAGGAAAAAGTTTCTAATAAGCTCACCTCAACGAAGTTGGGGGAGCTTATGTAATACCCTCGGCGTCTGCGTCGGCATCGGGGTTCCGGGCTAAGGTTAAGTTTTTGGAGCAGTTTTCGTTTTAAGTACTTCTATGTCTTATATTGATTAGACATGCATGGAAGATGTTTCTAATGTGTTTCTTTGTACCAGTCAAAGTTTCAGATGCTGCAATTTCAGCAAAGGTATGACCAGGTTAATGTTTTTGGAGCAGGTTAACATTTTGGTGCGGTTTTTTGATGTAGGTCTCATTTCTCTAATGCACAGAATTATTTCCTTCCCTTCACTTCTTATATTCTTAAGGTGTTTATTTTGAACTTGATATCGGAACTTGTCTGCACCAGTTTAACCTATTCAAATCGGTTTTCGTCATCTTGTAGTTTTTTTTAATCTTATAATCGTAATCATTTGGATAAATGTCTAGATTCTAACTGCATTGGGTTAGTGAATTTTAGACATTCTACAAAATGTTTCACGTACACATATAAGGAATTCTTGTAGATAGCTAGACGTTAATATATCATCACTGCTTTTACTGGCTATTTAGAATATTCATACAATGTCCATAATTCTAATTATCAATTGTTCCTCTCTCTATATAATATTAAAATTTAATTTATACCAGTTTACAAATATAATTTCATTGTTTTGTTTTTTTTTTATTGAATCGTAAATTACTAATTTTAAATAATCGGAAGAATTTCTCATCACAATGTAATACGAGTTACCAAGAATGCTAGCAAACAATATTCAAATGAATTTTCATTTATTGATCCCTTGTTGTTTCATGTCCCTTTATGTAATTTTACTCTCATATATGAGTTGTGAACATGTTCAGACATATACTTAGCATTTAGCAATTAAGTATTTTTAGTCGCTAGTACAAATTGTTAGACGTTAGACTTTTTATCAGGATTAATGATAAACATGTACATCTGTATATGGAGATAACAAACAGTTTTAAAGCTCAAAAGTCCATAAATCAATACCAAATACGAGCAGATCTAACAAGGACTTCCAAAACATCAGAGGTGGGATCAGATGCCATGGAAAAGTGTTTCCTGCCGACCGGTCACACCCTCCATGTGTCCCTTGTCATGATCAGAAAATAATGGAAAAATACATCGTCTTTTCAGTGTGTAAATAATTTACTAACAATTAGTATGAAAAATCGTCAGTCAGCATTTGACCCGATTATAAAATGTATTTGCTGACAAGATCATTGCGTCGACCACAGAACCTACGAAATGATGACTTTAAACGAGATTGCTACTTTTTTGTTTCATTAACTTTGTTGTCAATAATTTACCTTGTTTTACAAATTGAACATACGTAGAGGATGCTTTTGCATAGCAAATCAACTGAGAGATATAAACAACGTATGCAGGTGATGAAGGTATATTGCTGCACAAGTAAGGGATGTTGTCGATTGAAAGCTTAAAGTCATTACGGTTGAAAGCTTATATTGATATACAATCCGCACGTTCTGGATTAGTCATATGAAGGGATAGGCTTTACTAAAATCTAAACAAAAAGAAAAATCAGTTCATTGCAAAATAGGTAAGATTAAGCATAAACGTATACCTAAATCGTGTCAAGCCACTGTCTAGAGACAATATGAAGCTCTTTTCTGCTGGATACAATTATGGTAGAGGATTGTATATTTTGACCGAAGTGTGTGATGATGGCCAAAACGTTATTAATAATTGATCATTTCGTTAAAAAGAAAATGGATATCGGTATCATGAAATGTTTATAAAGCTATGATTACACCAACGAATTCTAACACGATTAAAATTGAATATATCTATTGAGTGAGAATTTAATTGACAAACAATTGACTACAATACCATGTCCAATTATTTTTAAAAAATGCACAATTGTAATTCTTTTCCAAAACCAATATTCTTTGGACCACCTGTTATCTGATCTTTCAGATAAAACCCCCAAACAAACAAGGTGACAAGCAAAACATAACACATCTTCTTGTCTACTAATTAGAAAACCAGTATGTTTCAAATGTTACATTGCAGTTCTGCAACTTAACAATTGCCATGATGGTGGACAATTTTGACACTTAAAGAGAAATTTTTGGCACAAATCTGAAAGTTTAGGCGCCATGGCGACTAAAAGGTAGCCAATCAGAGCCTATAGATAATGTTGATTAGATCAGAGAACTGAAGTCAACTGCCTAATCTAAAAAAAAAAAACAAAGACTTGGACCCACATATGCATTTAGAACACTTTAATAATTTCTTGTGATCTGAATGGGTGTTTTCCCCATAATAAATAAAAAAAGAAATTACATAATGATTGTAAATAGAAGATTCAAGAAATTTCTAACATACAATGTTTTTACTTGGAAACTAAACACATGTTTCATTTATTCCAAATATTTTAGTTTTAAGTACGTAATTAATAAAAGTTCAATATATCCGGTCTTTTATTGTATGACTAATTAACCAATCGGCAATTTTTACCTGGTATTTTTTTTCATTTATCTATTCATCAATGATGGTCATGCATGTAAAGCATTTATAAAAAAAAATTGACATCAGTCTTCTCTTAGAAAATAGTTAAATATTGTAATCTAGAATATAACATTTTCTTGATCTGGGTATGGTTTTAAATAACGAATAGTCCCATTGTCACTTTTGAAACCAATTTTATATGAATTCGTTAGTTTAAATAACACTTTTTTTTCTAAAAAGGCATCTTGCTTAAAGTTGAGACTTGGCAACATTTTTATTATTTTGGCAAAAATGATATTTTTGACAGAAGGGAAATTCCAGAAACAAGACAAAACTATAGATAGCAATGAACAAATGTTTTTCCAAAGGAAATGAATTTCCGGATATTTTTTATGAGTTATTTACCCTTGCATTCACGTCATCGAAAATGTAATCAAAAATGATCAGAAAGACAAAATGTGCAGCATTCTTACAAAGTCAAAAGAAGAAACATGGACTGCAAAAAGTATTTGAATTTTCTTTGTCTCGTTGTCGTGATTCATGATTCTATGGGCCGTGGTAAGTTATCTGTTTTTGCCTTGATTTCAATAGTTTGATTATATATTTTTTACCATTAGACATTTATTCTGTTTCAGTGCTAAGCAATGGAGATTGCTTGTATTCTATGAATGAAACATCACCAGATGATGCGCCTTTTAATAAAACAACTCAGATTTGTTGTACAAAATCAGGAGTTCACAATAAATATTATAAAGGACACAAAGTGGAATGCTGTGGGGGTAAGAATTATCATTAATGTTTAATTCACCTTTGAAAAAATAATGACTAAATGGCCTGTAATTATCATTAAGAATTGGGCAAATTGAATTTTGTATTTAATTTGAGTTTAAAATCGAGCATTTATAGCTTTGTAGCATGTCTGCTATATAGCTTCTTTCTCTCAAAATGCTGCAAAGATTTGTCATTTTCTTTAAATCTTTAAATGATTTTATCTAAGGAAACTTGAAATAGCTGAAGGGAGTTTTCAACCAGTTTATCCTTGCTTCTCCTATCATCATATTGTATCATCAAATCTGCTTAAATTTGCAATTTACATGTAATCGAGGTGTTCGTTTAGAAAAGCTAGTTATATAATTCTTTTGTAATGTTAAGGCTTTGGAATTTTATAATTTTACTGGCCGAAGGCCATAAATTTTAAGTTAAGAAAGTGAAATTTATATCATTGAAAATTTCAGAGAAGAAGTGAATAAAATGATACTTTAAGTGTGATCTAGAAATTTAATATAAACTTGATATCATGACTGCGTTTTAAACAGATACAACATACATACCAGAGATAGATCTCTGCTGCGATGGAAAAGTTTATAACAGACCTGACACTGAACGGATAGGCAATGGAAATTATTCTCGTGATACGAACAGTAAGTAATTTAACATAAATTTTTGTCAATATATTATAGCTATTCTTGAAAAATATTAGTAACGTATATAAAATCTCATAGAAATCACGATTCATCAGAAATTTTTCGAGGTGATATCTAAATAAAAGAAATTTTGCTTTTGTGTATTAATGTTTAACACACATAAAGCATTTTTAAATACTGTGTGTTGCTTATTATTTTAGAATGAACATGAATAATTCATTTTACATCATCTTGTCGCACACGGATTTTGTTTAACATTCAATTATATGGCAAATCTTCAATTTTTGTAGTTTTTGTTAATTGCCAATTATATGATCAAAATTACTTGGAATCAAACAATTGAGAAATAACTTGACCAAATAGACATCGTTCCCCTAAACTGAGAATTTTATTTGCGTATTGAATTTACAAACTAGCAAATAAAGCAATTTATAGTATGTTAAAATGTTTGTACATGTATTTTTGTGGTTTTCGAATGTGTTCTATCCTTACACTATTTTACACAACCTTTTATTTGTTATCCTAACCCAACCTCCTTTTTCTAACATGTGATCCGTTCTTATCCAGCCCGTCTGGTATGTTTCGTCATTTAAATAAAAGACAGGTTGTCTCCTGTTATGAATTTTGGAAACAAACAGAGTTGCTATGTTGCCTTGGACTGCCAGTAAGGTTTTAACATAAATACATTTCCTTTACGTATATATTTTATCAAGACATCATCACTAACAATAAAATAATGAAGTCGTTACCTTTCAATTCAGGCATACTCTAACAAAAATGAAGTATAGTTAATTATAGTAATTACTTATCACCTGTGTACATGTATCTTAACACTGTTTTTAAAATCTTTTGATTCGTTAACACTGATGGTGAGTTAAGTTTTAAAAGTTTACAAGTTCCATTTAGTACAGAAATATACATGCATGCATGGAACGGAAAACATAAACTTTGACACTGTGAAATTTGAAGAAGAATACTTTGATTTACTATATAGTAAAAAATATTCTTAGGCAAATTATTGTTGATTGTGGGTATACATGTACATGAAACATATGGAGATAACGAACAGTATTCAAGTTCAAAGTCTATTAAACAATACAAATTGGAGCAGAGCAAATACGGACCTCCAAAACATCAGAGGGATCAGGTGCCATGGAGGAGTGAGCATCCCCCTGCTTACCGGTCTCACCCGCCATGTGCTCCTTGTCATGATCGGGAAATAACGGAAAAATCCGTCGTCAATTCAGTGTATAAATAACTGACTTACAATAAGTACAAAGCATAGTAGGAATAAAGTACTTCTGTATAAACCCCCTGCATCAGCTCTCTTTTTTACCCAGCCTACAAACCCCCTTTCAAGTGTAATTGATCAAGACGTTATTTTTGTAAATAAATTGTGTCGTACGCTTCTAGGCATTTGCAAACAGAACATTTAAATATTTTTTCATGTAAAGAAAGGTGATTTAATTATAAATAAAAAACAAAAAAAATCAAAGCGACGTTTATGCATGTGAATATGTTATTATGTAAATTAGGTAAGACTAGTGATGTGTTTTTGTATGTTTATCTTCTTAGGTGATGCTAAAAGTGCTTCAAAGTCATCGTTAAACAAGTAAGGCAATCCAACCTATCGTGATGCTATATATAAAAATAAAAGGAGACAGTAAGATTTTTCTTTTAGTTAACACTGATGCAAAAACACTGTCCTTGAGAAATGCAATTTTAAAATAAAAATGAAATAAATAAAACCGCCAAAACCTTGTTATTGCCAACATACATGTATACCAATGTTTATAACAATTTATATAAAAATGCTTGAAATTGAAAAACAAATATTGTTCTTTCTCCCTCTTAAATGATTTAGTTGTTCAGTTGAGTTTCTTTCTCTTACATTTGTTATTCTAGAAGTATTTTTCAGACGAAGGTATCTCATTAATTATTTTTAGTGATGATTTTCTCTTCTTTTTAGAACGATATTGAACATAAAATTCCAGAGGTTGATGAAGCACAAGGGAAGAAACCTCCTCCGAGATCTTCTGATCTACATTGATATTGCAAAAGCCAAGAAGTCCTCAAAGAAAACCCAGAAGTTACCTTGACATGGAAAGACGAGGAAAAACTACCTTTAAAAAAATGTATATATAACAAAGAAGAACATAGACATTTTGTATAAATTTTGTAATTTAAAGTTTGATTTTTCATGATGTAGACAATATTTTTTAGAATATTGTTACTTACAAGTAGACACAATAGGGCAACCATTTATGAAAATGGCTTTAGACAAATAAAATGGCACGCACTTTGCAAATTTTAGGCAACAGTGCATTTTTCATGCAGCAGTTTATATTTGAATTTCTTTATAAAAATTATTCATATGATATTTTCCCTTTCTATTCTTATATCAGGCTTTAGGTGTTAGTGTGTTTCTTATACACTTAATTTTTATCGCTTTTATGTGAAATATTGCACTAAAATACTTATGATTGATAAATATATATTCAAGCACTTCTATACGTTACTTCTTTGTTCATGTCACAAGTACAATAAAACATATCAAAAAATATATGTGTTTTTTATTCAAAAAAGGATAATAAACGTCCATAATAAATTTAAATACAGTCTCTCTAATTTATAAAGTACCTATCGGGTAAAATCGATGACAATACTTAGCCCACTACATGTAAAAAGAAAAGAGAATCCGATATACCATTCCAAATATAAAAATTCCGAGACCTCTGATTTAGTTGTTATATTATTTTTCTAATCTTGTATATTCTACATTCAAACTAGCTATAATTTGCAGCTCTCCACCGGCAATTGGTGGCGTTTCCATATAAGTGATAAATTTTCGAGAGGAATGTGAAACAATATACAATAAAACAAGCTTCTATAATATGTACATGTACTTATTATTATCAAAGATTCAACACTTTACATGAAGGTGTTTTCTCGATTTAAGCTGATCGATATCAAAAGGAATTAAGTTTCTGGGAAGAAGCAAAATTCTTCACAAAGTCCCTTTAAGAGGTTCTTAGTTGCGAAATGAGATGTAAAAATGGAGATAACGAACAGTCCACAAAATAACAATACAAAATAGAAGCAAAGCAAAAATAGATCTTTAAAACATCAGAGGTTGGATCAGTTACAGTAAAGGTGTAAACATCCCCTGCCAATTGTTCACATCCGCCGTGTGCTCCTTGTCATTATCGAAAAAAACTCAGACCCCCCACCCCCGGCAATCCAGTTTGTAAGTTATGACCTGACAGATAGCATTATAACATTAGTAAAATTTCTACATTATGATAGATTTTCTTTTACATTGTTTTATGCAAGCCATGGAACCTGCAAAAATATTAAATGAGACTTTTGACATTTTTTTTTACATGTATATGTAAACGGTACTTGTGGACAGGAACCCAGCCTCACCCATACTTTATTGATATAGCTGGCCTTTAATGTCCCTAGTAAGTAAAAAATACTAATTTTACATTTCCAATGTCTTTGTCCGAGATAAAATTACCAATTGGAAATGTACTTTATTTCTCCATCAATGTATTGGCGTGGTTCCAAAAAAACCCACGTGCAGGGCGGAACAAACAGCTAGACAGATGCAGGGATTGGAGCACGTGGATTTGCGGAATCAAAGAATGCAAATATACGGAATAAATGTCAGATTTTTCCATTTCATGAAGATGATCAATCGATTGGCTTGCGTGATAATTTTATGCATAAATGCCTTCGGCGTTTATGCAAATTATCACACAAGCCAATCAATTTTTTACGTCATGAAATCGAAAAAAATTTAGTTATTCCTTAAAGCTGACATGAACTCTTAAAAAGGCATCAGTTTTCATCTTTGTACGACTTACTACATTCCTGTACGCCCTTGTCCGACATATTTGTTCGATTCCGCCATATTTAAATGAAGATTTTTGGCCACCTGTACCTGCTATATATAGCCCCGTAGAACTGTTTTACTTGAGTGATTTTCTAGCCTGGCTGTCGACATGTACACATCTCCGATAGCATAGTTTTTAGAAGTCCATAAACTGACCAAATACATGTTTGAAAAGAAAGAATTCAACAAAAAATAGAATTAAACCGAGAATTGAATTATTTTTGAATGCATTTGCTGCAATATAGAAAATACACTAACACGGAATACATTCATGTACAGGAAAAACCCATGCAGGTCGAGAAAATGCGTCAAACGCAGTGATAAAACATTTACCTGAATATACTGCTATCGTTACAATTAAGTCATGTAATCCATCGCTAACATGTCGAAAGCATTATCCTATTTTACTTTTATTCAAAAATGCATCTCAGAAGTCATGTAATCCATCGCTAACTCAACAGTAAAAGATGCTTGGACACACGTGGCCCATGCCGATCATTTTATTTGGTCGGGGAAAATATCAAAGGTTGACAGCTCAGTGGGATTGATTGAAAAAAAAAATGCAAGTAATTTTTTCAAAAATAAACATTACTCTTGTCTGTACATGTTGTAAATAAAATCTACGATTAAGTACATGGTTTAACTTCATCAAATTCATAAAAAAAGCAGGCATTATAACGAATCATTCACCTTTTGAAGATATTTTCCCGTGATATGGGGGGGGGGGGGGGGGGTAATAAAACATGCATAACACTCTCATTAAGAATGATGTAAGAAAAACGTCTGAAACAGACTGGATTTCTTTATGATCAATTATTATCAAATAAATACTGTGTATTGGCTTTATTAGGCCTAATATAATTTGATTTAAAGTTATTTATAATTTTATGCACTATGAAAGAAATAGTGAGCACGTTCACATACCCCACGCTCCCCCCAAAGTCGAAGTGCTGAAAATCCCAGAAAAAAATAAAGGAATCGTAATTTCCTTGTAATATGCACATCTATACACATTGTGTCCTGAATATCTGCAAAGTTTGACGAAATTGTGTGCATCGGTTTATGAGGAGTTGCGCTGACAAACTGCTCACCTCTATATTCAAGATATCGCCAAAATCTAACTGTAAAAGTGCGGAAATTCCCGAAAAATAAAGAATTCGGAATTTCCTGGTGATGTGCAAATATACACATACATTGTCTCCTATAAATATCTGCAAAGTTCGACAAAACTCTGTACAGTGGTTTATGAGAAGTTGCGCTGACCAAAAAAAAAAAAAAGACTGACTGACGGGTCAAAAACATACCTCACGCGTGGGGTATAATAAACGAGTTTGATTCTTTGGTACAATGATAATGAAAAGAGAATTTAATGTGAATTAAATTTCTAGACATAAATAATTAATGATAATTAGAAAAAGCATATAGGAAGAGAGAGTAAACTCCTCGTGAGAATTCCACATTCTACCTAAAACTAGCTTTTTAAAAATTCTCTTGTATGTTGTCCAAGTTCGACACATATACGTTTGAGAAGGTATTCGAGAGAGTTCCCAATGTTCCCATTCCTGTGATTTATATTTCACGTTTATTATATCCCCCGCCTGAAAAGTGGGAGGTAATCGTTATGTCCGTTCGTCTGTCTGTTACGCTTTGGGGTAACCATCTCTTATCCGCAAATCCTCTTACACCACTTAGAGAAATTTAATGAAACTTTCAAAGAATCCTAAGTTTATTACATATTACCATTGTGCACCTCCTATTTTACTTTTTGATCTGACACGTATGGGTTTAGCGAAATGTGGACTTTGCCATTATAACCATATGGGAGGCAGGGGTATCATTTAGTGAGTTCATTGCTCATAATACATGTACGTCTAGTTTCTCTTTAAATTTTGGCGTTTGGGTTAATTTCCTGTCCAAAGTAAAATTATTATTCAATTTATGAAGTTTCGACATCCCGCCTGAAAAAAAAACTCCTTGACCTGTCCTAAGGCATAATAAATGGTACAGCTCAAAGTGCGTAGGATTTTATACCTATCATTGCCCCAACGGGTGGTTACACACACAGAGAGAGAGAGAGAGAGAGAGAGAGAGTTCAATATACAAAAGAATAAGTAATAATTATCCGTATTCAACCAGTGTCAAGTATCCCTACCCTAGCTTCTAAAATTATCTCCCAAATTCACCTACAGAAATTATTTTTATATATATATATATATATAAAATACCTAGACTATCAGGCATGGATACTGAAATCTCGAAATACTTCCTGTAACAACATAATCAGATAATTATAAAACAGATACATTCCTCAAAATGCACATACTTTGTGGTCGGAGTGACACATTTTTAAAAAAAATCTCAAAACTGAATTCGGCAGAAATGTCTGTCTTCCAAGAATATTTAAATAACGGTCCTGTCAATTATTTTTGTTTGCCCCCCCCCCCCCGGTCTAAAAAATCAAATGCCTAAATGTCAATCTGAACAGGGGATGGCCTTTCTCCGTGTGTGTATGTGTTAAAGAATGTATAGATGTACACATAAAAATTTGTATTCTGGTTAATTGCTTTTAAGATTTGAAGTAAATTATAGTCGTACATCAAATTTCTTTGTTTAGATTTGAGATTAGTACTAAAATAATCAGTTATAATTGACAAATGAATTTTGCGACGCAAACCAACTGCAGACTATATACATGGCTTGGTATAGAATGTATATTAGAACTACATGTAGATAAACAATTCAAAATTAGAGCTTATGAACATCAGTTATAATACCCCCCCCCCCTTTCAGCCGCGCAAATACCAATAACCTTTTTCCACTTTTGATATTTTCCATGACCACAATCTGATCAGCACGGACTAAGTGTATCGTCTTGCTAGTGTATACGGAGTAATGACAGTGTGTTTACTATTGAGCTTTTATGGAGTTTATTTCTTTTTTGTGATGCATATTTCAATAAATGGAATTCAGGGTGTATATATTTCACTTGACTTGTGCACATCTTCGAACCGATGCAGTAACCTTATTACCAGGTATGGGTACGTTTACAGCGTTCGAGGCGTTTTCTCGATATGCATCAGTTGCATAGGACCTGCAAATCAAAGACGTTGGTTGTTTTGTTCCATTCAGATGATAATAATTTCAAAATGTGTTTGCAAATTTTACTGCTTTTTATTTCAAGTTTATTCTGCACAAATTGGCGAACTGTAAAAATACGTATTCATGCATCTAAATTTCTCTTCCA